GCATTAAACTGTTATCTGTACACAAAGAATAATTTGTATTCTACTCAGATTAAGGACTTCCTACAAAGTGACTAGTAACATCTAAACGAACTACCATGGTACAGCGCTACATAGCTGAAAGAAAGCTTCACTGCATGAATCATAGATAACATAGAAATACGCCTAGTGAAGAATATATGTCAACTAAATGGCGAAACAAAACTTCCACAACTAAACTAATCAATACCCAAATATATCTTGTCAGTCAAAAATAATAAAAAGTCTAAATTTGTGTATTATAAAATGTTTATTTACGTAAGACCACTTAATTAATTCTGTAGAGTTTCAAAGGATTGGTAAATGAAAATATAAATAACTAGATAAACACTGATAAGAGTACTTGAAGTGAAGTTGGCCATTAGATTTAATTAAATCAATGATGAGATAGACTTCTTTGACAGAAACTTCCTTCACCAATATACCTATGACAAACTATAAGTAGTATTTTCATTTTTAAAACCATAGAAGATCAGATAGTTGCGCCATCTTAATTTGTTAAATGTTCAATCTCAGATTATCAAGTTACACGTTATCATTTAGCTTGTCGATGGAAACCTAACAGTCTGTTATGTTTGAGTAACTGTGCCATGAATAAAACGCTCGACTCCTATCTTCATGTCAATGCTCTTGGTCACTCATAAGATTCGTTCATGGGCATTGATGAAGACTCATGCATTAGAAATAGACAAGTGCTGAGTGTTTCTTGTTGTGTTTTTTTATTTGGCCGTTGATGTTTCTTTTAGATTATATTGCTTCTCGATAAATTCTATTGATTGATTAAAAATTCCCATTAAACTGTTCATAGGAATGGTTACTGAACAAAGAATATTCATTTCGATAACCCCTTCTTCATCAGGTTCTACAGATTTATATATATATATATATATATATAGTAGTGAATAAATTAGTGTTATTAACAACATTAATGTTGTTTAAATAACATCGAATCAATAGTAATAGTAATATCAATGGATTACAGGTATTATTTTCTACACGACCAATGGTGATTCCCAATTAAAAGATGAAGTGCCTAGACTAACCACTTCTAATTGTATCTACCAATTCAACTGCGCTGATGCTGGAGCGTGTTATATTGGTCATTGTTCTAGGGACTTTATTTTGCTGGCTCTGAAACATCTACTTGTGTGGCTAAATAAAGGTGTATTTAGAAGCATCAATAGCTCGATATTAGAACATCTGGTCCAAACCGGCTACAAAGCTAATATTGAAGAGTCTTTTTCCATAATTTATCGGGTATCAAACAAATTACCAAAAAAAAATCCAGGTACCGCACACTCCAAACAGTGGAGGCTGTCGTGATTAGCCTTAAACAACCAGTGCTTTGTGAGCAGAAGAAGCAAGTCCAGACCCTGGTCTTCAGTGGAAACTATAAATTCATGAATTTGTATTATTATCTTTCCTAATTTCTCTGACATTCAGTGTGTATTGTTATGTTGATGCTATCGAACTGTAATCTATTGATGTTATTATTATTGATTCGATTTTATTTAAACAGCATTAATGTTGTTCATAACACTAATTCATTCATTCACTATAATGTATGTATAACTGTAGAACCTGATGAGGAAGGGGTTGTCGAGAAAATTATTCTTTGTTCAGTCACCCTTCTTTTGAAAATCAGTTGAATTCACAAACGGAGCAAAACAGATGAACTTATTATGATTATATTATTATTCTCTTGCGTTCTGAGTGGAACATAGGGCTTCAACAACACATCTCCACCTTCTTCTGTTTTCTGCCGTCCTCTTCAGCTGGGTCCACGATTGCCCATAATCTCTCATAGCCCCCAACTCGCACGATCCCCTCCATGTCACCCTAGGACGACCCACTCATCGCTTCCCAACGGGATTTTAATCGAGGGCCTGGTGTACGATGTCATTCACCAGCCTCCTCAACGTAGGCCGGATTCTTCTCCACTTTCTCGTACATATTTTGTCGAACAATCAGCTCTTGGTTGGTTTCTTCCTAGACAGAGTTTGATCTTCAGTATGGAGCCAGAGAAGCGGGCAGCTGTTGATGAAAATCTGAAACCTGTTGGAAATGCTTTTCGTGACACACAGTGTAAGTTTCTGACCCGTATAGAAGAACCGACTTCACGCTAGTGTTGAAAATGCGAATCTTGTTGCTTATGCTGAGTCCAGAAGATTTCCAAACTGTTTTCAGGTTGATGAAGGCGTGCGTATGTTGCCTTTCCGATTGTGGCAAGATGAACTTATACTAATTCTATATTGTCATATTGCGATAGTCATTGCAATATGACAATAATAATAATAATCACATATAATCACACAACAGGGTGGGATAGAGTGAAAGGAATTCAAAAGTAAGATGTACGGGGCGGAGAGTGAGAGATTAGTCAATCAATCTTTGTTCATCTAATCAACACCGAATACGCGCAACACTCACACAGGATAAACGGAAAGTTTCAATAATAAAATAGGAGGAAATGAGATTATTCAAAGCAAGTTGTCAAATCATGTGAATATACTCGTATGATTATAAGCAATAAGTTGTGTTGGAAACGTCTTCCAAATACTCTTTATCTATTTTGATGTGGTTGTGTTCTCTGAGCTGGATAGTTTATTTGCGAAGCTTTCATTGCCCTACTAGGTAACATCTTCAGCGTATACTTCCATTTGAAGTAAGCTTTAAGATTTCTCGATGAGTTTATTAGTCATCTATTCTGGTGACCTTGAACGTGGCTGGTTGTTTTTGTGTCTTCACACCTTCTAGGTTAGCCGTCAAAAGACATTAGATTCACACCCTCGTATCACAGGAACAGACAACCGTGAACATCAATTCACTGGGACAACCAACGTTCAAATATTAGACAAAGGAAATACCAAGAATGCTACAGAATTTTTAGAAGCCTGGTACTCCAGTGAATCGTCAACCAATAGACACATCGAGATAAACAAAATTTACCAATCGATAAGAAGGAAATGTCACACACAAATGGTCAAAGATCAAGTCAAGGAAACAATCAACACCAATACAAGTAGCCTAGAAGGTGTGAAGACACACAAAAACAACCAACCACTTTCAAGGTCACCAGGAGGGATGACTAATAAACTCGTAGAGAAATGTAAAAGCTCACTTCAAATTGAAGTATGCTCTGAAAATGTTGCCTAGTAGGGCGATGAAAGCTTCGCAAATAAACTATCCAGCTCAGAGAACACAACTGCATCAAAATGATCCACCTGAGTTACAAATCTCGTCCATCATGTCTAACTCTGTATCTATTTTAGACGTATATAGAAAGTTGTATTAGAAAACAGCAGGAATTAAGTTATATAAAGGAAGTTAGCATGTCGTAGAAATACACTAAGGTCATTATGAGAAATAAATTATGCTAGGAAACGTCATTTGCTGTGTGTTATAGAAAATAAGCTTGCCTAGTGTAGCACTGTATATCCTACGACAATGCCCAAATTCCAGTCTTACGCAGCTTGTATAATTCTTACTAAAAATAGACGACTTTATACACAAACCTGATAATGATGAACATTTATTGCATTTACGCTGAAAAGACCCCCCACCACACACACAACGGTGGATAATATACAAACACAATTATATTTATTCATATCAGATGTCTTATACTCCTCTAAGCTCCCCTTGGAATATAGGCCTTAGAGCTTTAGCTTTGAACTTTCAGTAGCAGTGGGTATTTATTCTTTTACAGGGTGCGTTTGTTAGTCTCATGTCCAACTTTCCATGTCTGCTGGACTTACTGCCAGCTAAACAAGGTTGAGAAGTGAGTAGGCTGGGGGATCGAACCCCAGATCACATTAGTGTTTGGTCAGTATTGTACCACTCAGCCCCTGACGCACACAGTGATTATTATTTACTATTTACGTCGATAAATTCAAGTGTTTCACCTAAGCTCTCATAATCAAATCAGACAGTGAAACAGTTTAGATATATTATCGATAAGAACAAAATAAAACAAGCGAGAGTAACATCTAGTGGTTCGGTCATGTCAACCTGGCCATTAAAAACTTTATAAACAATTAACAGCCTATATATATCTTCGGATTTTCAACACTAATACCAAGTCAGTGATACTATATGGTTCACATAACTGGCATGAGCGTCATTAAAGCATCTCCAGTAGCCTGCTACAGACTTTTATCGACAAGCTGACTTCGCTGGCTCAATATCCAAGATCAGATGCCCGGTGAGAAGGGATTGACAATAAGGAACTCCAACAATAAACCAACCAAGTAGCTATCGTACAACAAATATTCAGAAGACAATGGAGATTGATTGGAAATACGCTGAAGTGACCTTTAAAGGATGTTACACTCCAGCCCCTAAAGTTGAACCCAAACGGGAAACGATGAGTTGGGTGGGTGTGTGTGTGTTTGTCCAAGAGTGACATGCAGGAGATGAATATGGTTATGGACTGTCGTATAGCCTACTGAGGCCCTATGTTCCACTCTTTACTCATGAGAACAATAATAATAATAATACCTTGACCTCATTCATGTTATCACACAGACTACATTATACACAAATTGGTCGCTACATAGTAATCAGTTTAGCTGTTTCTATTCTTGAAGAAGTCAATTAAAATCTACCGGTGGATCTTGAGGTACGGCTATGATTACGTTCCGCATCTGACCAACAGATTTCAGCCAATCAATACAGTCCGAAATAGACGGCTGCATTGATTATCACATGCTAAACAATTCTTTGACAATAATCAACCTTTCACTTCAACCCTATATGATACAGACTGGCTTTTCAGGATGAGTACTGATGAAGGGTCCCAAGGTGGGACGAAGCAGCTGTCCAGTGAAGCCTGTAATCGATCGAATTCCTGTAAAACAACGCTTGAAAAAAAAGGATTTTACAAAATTGGCCAATCAACCAAAAGAAGCTTTAATAAAAGTTTAGAAAGATCAATGGACAGAGTTAATCGCATTTATGCATACCTTTAACTCCTTCTTTTCGTAAAGCATTCAATGCTTCATTATATTCTAATTCAGCTAATTTTGAATTGTCTGAATAAGAGGGACAGCTGGCTCTCAGCAAATTCGACCGATCAGACAGTAAGGCCGATAATCCTGGCAGACGAGTTATGGAGTCAATCATTTTCACTGCAACGCCGATAGCTTTCATTAAAAAAAGAGTAAAAAAACAAAAAACAAAGTGTAACCAAAAAATATATAAATAAGGGACATTAAAGTCTTTCACAAAATGAAATATGAACTGAAATAAACAATCATCAAAGACACCAAATTGAAGCGAACTGAGGAAAACCAACATTTCGTGTGTTGCTGGTGGTGCGTTGGTTCATTCACACCTAAAGTTCGCCTAACAAGGTAGAAGAAGAATTAAGCTTTGTTGAAAAATGCCTTAGGGGAAAACAGGTATCCAAAGAGATTTATCCTAAAGTACAGCAAAGAAAGATATGAGAAAGGGAAGTATCCAACAGTTGTAGAGAAGAAAGTGTTCATTTGCCTCCCATATAATGGAGAAACAGTATCGCGAAAGATTGAAAAGAGGATGAAAGGAGCAATAAAGAGATGCTTCCCTACAGCTATGCTGGCGACACTATACAACACTACATGCTCTATAAGCCAATCAAAACTCGATAAGTATCCTGCTGATGTTACCTCCAACTGCATTTATAAATTTACGAGAACCTGCGGCAGCAAGTATATTGGAAGGACAAAATGAAGGGCTTCTATCCAGTTTTCAGAGCATATTCCAGGAAACTTATGCTTAAAAGGAAGCAGATATTTACAAAGTGCAACTACCAGACACTTTTGGATACGGGTTATTTTGTCGGGATTTCCAAATCCTTCAAAATATTAAACATACAAAGTACAGAAAATCTACTACGATTTGATAAAGCGATTGCAATCAAGCGTTTCAGAACAAACTTATGCATACAGAAAGAGAGTGTAGTCAATCTCTCACTCCCTTGGTAACCGTATTACTTTCATTACACTGATTAGTCATATACACTAGTGAGCTCAGCTCACTAAGCAAGTTTTCAATTTGATGAACTTTAACCTTCTTGAGTTGCCATGTTGACGTACAAGCTAACACTGTTTATTAGATTTTTCTGTTTTTTGTCTTCTCTCATCCCCCCCTTTTTTTTCATAGTTTGATAGCATATAAATTGATGGTAACTTAAACTAAAAACTGTAATACTTATATTCCGGATGCTTTCATCTTTATTATTACCTTTATTACCTTTCAAACATTGAAGTATGAAATGTTATTATCTATAACCGTTGTAATTTCAGGTAGTTTGCAGTTAGCTGATGAGAACCTGTAAAATAGAATGATGATATCATTTTATACTGCAAAATCTGGTCTTTCTTTCTCTATCGAAATTTATCAAAGGAACCAAATGTATAAGGATCTTTGACAGACTGTTGTATCAATAGACAAGCACTTATGTACTTCTCATGTTGAAATTATTTTGCATTCTCACAACAAACTCTCACTGAAAGTAAATTAATCAGGAAGCATGTAGGTAGCAGTACGTCAGTTGGATTAATGCAGCACAAATCCTAGCAAAATCTAGATTAGTTGACATGAATAGAAATAAGAAGTCTAGAAAATTGACCAGATATAGAACTCACTAGAAGCAGTCAAATAATATGACGGGATAAGGTGACAGAGTCGAAGAAGAGCTTGATAACTGAGGCTTTATTTATCGAATTAGCAGAAAATACGTGCAGTAGGAATGACTCAGTAACTGTCTCAGAGATTTGGAAGATCCTACTACCTCAACGATGATAAGATAGGAACAAAAAGAGAACTATAAAACTCAGGTTTCGAAGTTTAGTAGATGTGATGTAATTATGAACAATAAATTGTGTTCGAGACGTGGTGCAGTAAACAATACTGTTTCATTTTGTGATATATCCAGTAAAGAAACTAATGTGGAATTAAATACTACAACAGTGCGCACGTTTTACACATATATCACAGGAGGTAACTTTTACGTGATAATAAATATTAAGGCATTTGTCCCTAAACTTTACTAGCTCAGCATCATATATTTTCTTAGCTTAAGAATTATAATTCACCTTATAAGGCACAAAGAATTTTGCATTACCAGGGTTAACAGTTAAAATTCTTCTATCAAAACTGATTATCTATACCCACCCGTAGTCAATAAGTCACATTTTAAACTAGTGAGGTTTTGATCAATTTCACTGTAGATTTCAATCACAAGCCAACGTCGATTAGAGAATTAGTGAAAAACCAAGGAGTATTGGACAGTAGTTTCGTCCTGATATGGGATTTCTTCATCTCGGAGTCGAACCAATGACGTTCTGATTACATAGGGAACCCACTGACCATTCAATGACACGTTACTTTCAAGCATCGACGTGACATACATGAACATGTAGTTCCCATGATGCCTGTAGCATAGATGGCACTGAAACTGAAACCGAGTCAAGCATTGAATACCTTGGATTAGTTCCTTCCTCTGACCTTACATGGTCATCCCACGTCTTATCAATCTCTAAGAAAATGTTTCGTCTTACCTTCTACATTAAAAAGTTAAGACAATCAGGTATCAAACAAATGTTTTCCAATGGTTCTCTAACTGATGTCAGCTCATAATGAAACCCTCCAACCAGTCAAACAATTAATTCTTCAATATATTAAATTAAACAATGAACAAGATTTATAGTAAATCAAACTAATTACCTAAAAACGATTTGTAGTTCCCTTTTTAATTAGTTAATTAATTAAGAAGAGTTCATAAATCATTAATGTAAGTGTAGAACTAGGGCACTGTGGTAGAATGTAATCCCATATCAGATAAGTTATTCAGAAATGTATAAGAAACCATAGAAAAATTAAGATTAGTAATGCGAAGGAAAAACATAATATGGAATTCAAAGCCTCTGTGATACTGCCGTATGACGAAGAAATGTCAGAGGCCTTACGTAGGATTCTCAATAAGGCTGGAATCAGGGTGGCATCTGAGCCAACCAACCAACCAGCCAACTCTCTCAGAGATAAACTTTGTCGGCTTAAGGACCCAATAGATCCAATTAGGAAAAATAATATAATTTACCATAATATGCCATGAACACAAGAATTTAGCTGGAGTTAGAATGATTAACCCTGCTAAGGTAAAATATCTCGGGGAAAAATTTGGCCATTGCAATGCATTCACTTGCATGTAATCACACAATAAGTTGGGATAAGGTAAACGTATTAAAAAATAATATAGTTAGGTGGAGAGAGAGACAGAGGGGTTAATCACTTTATCGATTCAATACTGCACACGTGCAATCGAAATGACGCAACGCCTTTACCGGAGATAAGGAGTGTAGCAACAAGCAATAAAGGGAAGAGGGAGAAAAGGACATATATATATATATATAAGATAAATTGCGAAGCTACGTGACTAAATTGTTATAATTATGAGTAATAACTTATGAAAACAAAACACGTAGATCAGCGAAGAATCTCTTTTCGGCGGCAAATTCATTTTCTTAGCTGTACATTCGCAAATATATATATATATATGTTATTTTGTATGTATGTGTACATTAAGTGTGTCAAACAAAAACACAATTGGTTATGGTTATTTTAACTAAACAGGTGAAGATTGGTAATTGGACTTACGTAATACAAAATCAGTCAAGAAAATTAGGTGTTAGTGAAATTAGGGTAGTAACAAAGGTGATGAGTTGTCACAAACAGTTGTTAAAAGAAGTTATGTAACAATATGAATAGTTTGATGATTGAGTTTTACTCAGGATGCACATAGGAACAAAGTAGACAATACGAAATTACGTAAGAGTTCTAAATGAATATAAGAATCGGATATGATTTTGATGTGGTTGCGTTCTCTAAGCTGGATAGTTAATTTGCGAAGCTTTCATCACCCTACTAGTTGGCATCTTCACCGGGAGAGATGATTAATAAACTCGTGGAGAAATCTAAAAGCTCACTTCATCAAATTGAAGTATGTGCTGAAGATTTCACCTAGTAGGGTGATGAAAGCTTCGCAAATTAACTATCCAGCTCAGAGAACACAACCACATCAAAAAGAATATAAGAATTACAAGTAATCAAAGAACAGGCAAAGAAACAAAATTAAGTCATCAAAATCAAAAAATCAAATCAAAAAAGTTGTTACCAAGACAGTAGAAGTGGTTGAGCAATCCTCTTTCGTATGCACAGCTCCGGTTTTCCTATGTGAATGGCCACAGCTTCAGCGATACATAGAAGACGAAATCGTACTGCCTTTGATAGGTTATTCTTGACTCTGTAGATTACTTTTGAAGGAGGTGTTTATTGAAATGGAATGATCAGTGTTAACCCGGTGTCCAATTATCGCACTCCTTATTGCACCACTATTGCCTTTTCGCAACCATGCTGTATAGTGTTCTTGAATCCTCTTGAACAGGGTGCGCGTCGAACGACCGATGTACCTGGCTCCACAGCAGCAGGTGAACTGATATATGTACATAGAAGTGGTCAGATGCGGGATCTTGTCCTTGAGGCTTCTGTAGATCATGCCCGAAACCCTGTCATCCAGATGTTAATATACTGTATCACTCACTGTGTGATATCTAAAATAAACTTATCTCATATGGAGTCCATAAATCACTCGAAAATTTTCAAGAAAAGTCCATAAATACAACAATTAACACTAATGATGACAGTCTTATTCACTTTGTTCAGTTTATACTAGGAAGTCACAGACATGGTCTGGAGGAACTTTTGACAAAACAAAGTAAACTGTCTCCCAAAACACTAAGCAATATAATTACTTTCAGGACTTCGTGTAAAAGTAACTTTCCTAATGACTGCTGACTACTGCTCCAGAACTAAGTCAAAAAGAGCATTTTTTGTGTGTGAATCAACTGCTTATGCCTATTTCCGTCTATTATCGTCAGGTTCACTATATGCGAGAAGAATATAGCTGTTCAAATTCAATAACATTGCCGAAATTTCATACACGTTCATATGACTGGCATTATTAATAACTGGGATTCAATACCGCAGCGTTGGCACAGTGGTTAGGACGCTCGCATCGACCATGCACATGGTCCGGGGTTCGATCCCCGACCGACACACACGTGATATCAATGGTCGGCCTGTTAAATGTGGGCCACCGATA